ATGACTTAAACAAACAGCATTTGTTTCAAGTTCCGTGCAATCCTTCTTTGACCAAATATTTCGACAGTTCGTGGCCGAGTTGGTTTAAAATTCAACTGACAACAGGTAGTTTAATTCGCTGGTAACCCTAACAAACCCGACAGACACAACAACACAACAACTTCTGATAACAAATATCATGAAAAACTACAATAAACGCTTGTTACTTACAACGAATTTGAGTTTCCACCATATTTCTGCTATATTCTCCTTGCGGTGTGAGATAGACAAGCTTCACGCAGTCGCCATTTTGACTTCTTTAGAGATTTGTTCATTACATCACTGCAGCTTCACTTATTCATTTATTCGCGCTCGGCTGACTCTCCGATCTTTATTTTCATTGGTGCAATTAAAACTAGAACCTGTCGCGACACTTTTTAACGTCAGAGCGCGGCAGAAAACAAGAACGACAGTGGTTACAATGTTATTGTGAAAGAAACACTTACGGGTAAATACTTGAAAGACGGCGGCCTTTGTAAACTTTCAAGTGTTAAAACTCGCGGGTAAACTAAATCTTAACTGACAATTGTCCCGAAATTTATATGGCAACTTGGACTGATTATCCAGGACTGGCTTATGATGCAGTTAGGTTAGCAGTGTGATAGAGAAGCTGCTGAAACCATGCTCGCCAGGAAGGATCTTTACAGCTCAATGTGTGGGTCATTATTCAGCAAAACTTATCTGATTATTGGACACAAAGCCATTTCCCAGTTGCAATTTCACGAGAAACTGCCCTTACCGCTTTACTTGTCGCAGCTCACACCTTGATTTATTATTTGCTGAAGTCGAGCTGAATCACAAATTAATCTTTATTGGAGGGGCGTTTTGGCCCGAAATTTGGCTTATACAACAGACGGTATTAAAACCAGCACCGCACTGATTCTGGCATACACACCGGGGCCACCAGTTAAATTGATCTGAGAATTTCAAAAATCCTTGGCGCACAAAACAAGACACAAATCAGTCACTTCACAAGCCAGGTTTGGACATCAAGCACGAAGAGGGAGCTCTCTACATTACCCTGAAACGTTTTTGTATTTAACTAAAGGTGCGACTTAAAACGGCGATGAGATTGTTAGCTTACTGCTAGCCCACCACGTGCTTTAAATGTCGGAAAGAAAAGACATTGAAGTCCTTTCTCTGGTGATTTTGGATTCTGTAAAGTCTGAGTACAGTGTATTATGGAGAACCTGAGGTCTAACTCTCCATATCTCCTACATCGTGTTCTCTTTTCGCACGCTCCCGAAAAGGTGACATTCTTTGGGGAGTGCGTTAGTCGAGGAGAGACTTGAAATTCAGGCTATATGCATACTTGTGAGTTTTTGTGCCTTGTTTCCTGCGTCAGTAAGAGTATAAAATGGTACGTATTTCTCGTCCAGAATCGCCGCTTGGGTCGCCATGCAATTTTACATCTCCTACGAAGGATAAGGGGTGGGAAAGAAGAAGGAAAGGGAAAATTGGAAGAGTCTTTACCATGTTTACACTTACTGCACGTGTCGCACGTCTTAACCGTCGGAAAACTGGTACCTACATCAGTAATTTCGTTCCCAGTTCCAAATGTCACACGACAATGACGGCCATTGTTGTGTTTTGGTAAATTCTCACGTGCAGTGAAGCTTTTGTCTTTTTTTTTCGGTCAAACGACAACAAATATTGTATATCTGGAAGAAGGCAGTATTCGGCTGTTTGAGGGCAACGCTGTCTTCAATTGAATTTATCCTGAATCAATGCTTGCCGGCTAATTTTAGGACGTACTTTATGAAAGCAAGAAGATAACTTATTAGATGGCTGAATCCGAGCAACTTGACATGGACAAAATGGATGCAGTTTATAAAAAGTGGGAAGCTCGTAGTTCTGGTCCTACTAGTAGTGGTAACTATAGAGTTGGTGCTTCAAATGACACACAGCAAACAGCATGGCAACGGGATAACTTACAAGCACCAATCCGACAGCCATCAAAATACAGAGCAAGGAAACGTAAACCTAAGGTAGGTTTTGAAATATACGAAGATGAGCTTGATTGATAAATCTGAGTGACAATCGATAGCAAGCAATATTAATCGATATTACAGTTCATTGACATTGGAAATCAATGAACAATCAGTGGGGCATGTTTCTGTGATCATTCATCTTATTGACCATTGATTTCTAAGCTTGATTATTATTAATTGCCATTTATTTCTATCTCAGTATTTGGATTTTAAATTGATTAGGAAGATGCGATTAATGTGATAAAATCCTGTTTGAAGTCAGTTCAAGAAAATAGTGCAACATAACGTGACAAGTCTGAAGGTATATCTGGTAAGGGTCCCACCCAGGAGAGGGTTGGGGGGGGGGGG